TAAAAACAAAAGCGCTCATGTTCCAGCACTAACAGCAAAATCTGACACAACTTCTGGTATTTTGTTGTCAGAGTTTAAAGTAGGGTGGATATGTTTATTCTATGTCGTGTTTAGCATATGTATTGGTGCAAAAGTTACATAACTGTTCCTTGGTACTTTTGTGTCATCCAGCATTATTCTTAGCCACATGTACTATTAAGCATTTGGCTAACCAGAGAGATTTAAAAATGCCACAGTTTGTTATCTCCTGGAATTTTCTTCCGCTTTTAATACTAACAATGAGAAAGAAGAATGCATGTGCTGATGTATAGACCTTACTACCACAAAAGAGAAGTTAGGAACTTGGTGGGATTGAGACATAATGAAACATTTGCTGAGAAGCATAAACAGTTAAGCAAAACATATTAAATATACTATATACCAATAAACATATTAAAGTCATATAAGTAAGTATATGCTTATATAAGCATTATATTTGCTTCAGCAACTATGGTAAATGACACAAGATGACCAGTAGTTGCCTAGTATTGAAACTTTCAATGAAATTGAAATTTCCTAACATTAAATTTTCCTTCTAGGAAGATGATCATAGAAGCATCCAGTGTAAATTACTTTTTGTATCTCCCTCTGAAAAATTTGGTTCTGATTATTTTCATCAAAAAGAATACTGACCTTTAAGTTAATCTGACTTAGCAAACTCTACAGATTCATATAATTTATACTGAAATTATTTAAGCTCCAAAGTAGGAAGGACTCCTTGGATGTCATGACAGGGGCCACCTAAAAGACCCCTAGTGGCCCAAACCTTTCCACCACTCTGAAAGTGAGGGTGAGGGACATTGCAGTGGGGGAAAATTTAAGATAGCTGCAATATACTTATGCACTAAGGTCCCTTTATGTTACAAGGGCAATGTAAATGTTCGAGTGAGAAGCAAGTTTAAAATTACCAAATGAAAAGGATTAATCTCCCAAAGCTCCACGCCTGATTCCTATTGGCAGAAAGGCGAGTTTTTAAGTCAC